AAGTTAATTAAAAAGTTAAAAAGTGTAATGGTTTCTGCACTGATTCTGGCCTGATCACTCAGTCCATACACCTGCTCTGCTCCACCCATCCGCAATCAGGTCTGTCCAGAGTCACCTGTTTCCAGCAGTATATAAACCCCATCAGAACAGTCCTTTGTGCCACATTATCTTGAACCAACCCGGTAAGAATAGTCCAGCATCTTAAAGAGTACCTGATTGTCTACCCGTTTCTGACCCGATCTGCCTGATACCGAGCCTGCCTGACCCCTTTCTGATTCTGCCTGCCTGATTACCCTCACTGCTCTGCCTTTGGATCCCCGGATCTCTGAGTCATTCTGATCGGACTGCCTGCTCTCCTCTCTCTGGATCACAAACTTGGAAAAGCTCAGCTTAACTGCCTGCCTTCCCGTCCTGGATCAAAAACTGGTAAACCTCTCTCAATCTGCCCGCCTGTCTACCTGCAGCCTGTTTGCCCAACTCAGATTCAGTCCTGCTATCAGAGTAACCCTTTCAATAAACCGATCAAACATCACTAACCTGTCTTGGTTTATTTGGATTCAGTCTCTATCTCCTTACAAAAGGTCATAAAAAAAGGTAAAAAGCTTATTGAAAAGTTAAAAAGTAAGGTTAAAAACTTAATAAAACTAGTTAACAATCATATTTAGGTTTATGAACTCAAAAATGTAAGTGCCACTATCAGCATTAAAGCCTCTAAGGTTATGTTGTACCAAAATCAAATGTGTTTCTTTGTGTTTTTCATGAATTTCTTATAGAAGCACTTATTTTTGTTATTTTTCTTAATATATTCGGGCAAGTTGGCGTTTCTTATTATTACACTGACGTTCATTTTTGCCAACAAAATGTTACAAAGGTAATAAGGTCTTGTCCTGGATTCCAATAACACTATTGGCTTGAAATGTGGATTCAAAGGATTTCACTGAATGCCCTATAAAGAGTTAAACTTGCAGTTGTATTCAGCTGAACTATGGAATAGTGTTTGAAACTTAACTGCTGTAATTCTATTTTGTGTTGCAGTTAACGAACATCGTTTAGCAGGCTGGCATTTTGAAGGATTTTTAAAACATTAGCGTAGTTTAAAAGTGAACATAAGAGAAAAGCTTTTGACAGTTACCAGGCACCACATCTACAAACATTGAGAAAAGACAAAAGGGAGGCATACATTTATGGGGAAATCATAAAAAGTGATAAAATGATGTGATTCAGGGAAAGCTTTGTTTATTTGTTTTAGAGCTGACTTAGAAAATTGCACATCTTTGAGCTGCTTTCATCAAATTATAGCAGTTTGAAATGTGAAACAAAGTCTACTGTTGGATATAAAAAGATTCTGGAGAGATGGGATGATGCATTGACTGCCTCCTTAGTTTAAATTCTAACTTTGTAAGATCTGAATTCTTTAATACTTTACACTCTTTTAGCTTTTCCGAAAGTGACAGAAAACAGCCTTGAGCGCTTATGGAGAACAACTCATAAAGTTCATCTCTTTGATAGGAGCAGATTTTTTGGTAGTGTTTGCATGTACTATGGACCGATAGAAATACAACAATTTGAGATCTATCCTGTTCAACTCCCATGTGTGCTGTGGTTAAAGGGATACATCCTTACAAAGTCCAGATCCCAATAGAGCTTGTTAGGTTATAAGATACTCTTCTCCTCAGTTGCTTTCTCCTTCCTGCATCTCTCCCAGTGGAAAGCATATGAAAGCTGACAAGGAGCCAGATGGAAGTGAAGCTATGAAACCACACCAGAGGCAGTAAAAGTGTAGAGGTCCATTGTTAATTCTGGAGGGAGACATTGCTCGGTGCTGTGTGTTAAGTGAACCATTATTACTGTTGCATAAACAGCAGGAAAAAGGGGCAGTGTAACAAAATAGAAGTATTCCTGAGCTGACACGCAAATTAACAAGTAAATAAATGAATGTTTCAGGTGCCTTGTACAATAAAACTCCTTTAAGTTTTTCGCAGTGGCTCATCTACGGTAAAAACTACCACAAGCAATGTACACTGCAAAAACGATCCTAAAATGAGTAAAAATATCCTTAAAATAAGTGTATTTACCCATAATTTGAGTGGGTAAATGGGACAATCTGCCAATGGAATGAGTGTATTTAGCCTTAAAATAAGATAATCAGATATTATGCACTTGAAATAAGAGACGGCAGTTGTTTTTCTTTTATTTCAAATGTAAATTGTCTGATTCAATTGGCAAAGTATGTCCCTTACCTTCTCAATTCAAGAACTAATGCACTTAATTCAAGGAAGTTTGACTTATTTAGTTTTACATTTTTTGCAGTGTAGTTTATTGGAAGTTTATAGACAAACCACCAGTATGATTGGGCAGATGAGGAACTGTGATTTAAAATGATACTAAATTAGTTTAAGGAATGACATATATTTGAAATCCAGATATAAAAAACCCATTTTAACTGATTGACAATTTTTTTTCGTGAGTAAAAAAAGGTGTCATAGGTAAGGAAAACAGTACCTACAGCAAGACATTTAATGAGGCATTTTGCCTGATCAGAAAACCTTAAGACAAAGACATTTTTTTCCACTTTAAGTCAGTGAAGTTATCTGAAAGCAATAAAAAAGAAATAACCAATTAAGCCTACGCTTTCCAAAGATAGAGAAACAATAATAGATGGCCAAAAAGTAATGTCGCCCTGTGAGTGAAAAAAGTTGTGTGTGATGCTTTTTAATTTTACAAGAGTAGGTGTATGAGTATAGTACTTAAATAAGGTGGTTAAATACTGAAGTGTGTTCTTACCACAAACCTGTAGCCCTTCCAGGCCCCTGGATGAATATGTTAATACATGCATTCAATATGAAACATGCAAAAGTTGCTCTTTCCAAACTGCACACGAGGAATAACAATGTAATTATGACAAAGAAAGATTTTCTTTTTAGCTTCATACCAACAAATAATCGGTAGCTCCAGTTAATCACTGTTGTGTTAAGCTACTCATGAGTTCAACAGCAGGCATTTTGCCATCAGGGATAAAGTTATGGAGATGGTTAAAGCAGAATTAGAGTTATACAATTATATTTAACAGCTCATTGGCCAAAAGCAGCCAAGAGGAGCGTAGAAACTCTTTAGGAGTGGCTAAGAAAACAAAGGTGGGAGAATCTTATAGAAGTGACAACCATTAGTCTGTGAATGTTACATGCGGCACCGCACTGAAACCACGGTGGCAGAAAACAATCTAATGCATTCAATTACAACATATGCATGTGTTAAAACAGTTTGAGCAAAGGTCAGACCTTTTGTCCAAGGACTCTGACAAGATTTAAAATAGCTGTTCACAGATGCTTTTTTACACATCTTATGGGAAGTACATACAGAGATAAAAGGCTGTAATTACATTAGAAGGTAGTCGTTTAAAATAACTAAAGAAGGCTAAATACGAAAACATTCCACATTTCGCTGATTTCTACTTGAATAAATGCACAAGATGTTTTCCTATTATTTACAAAACCATTCAACTTCCTGCCAGTCTATCCAATAAAATTACAATACAAGTAGCTAAGAGCTTTTTAAAGGTACTTTCTGGTAACCCTTTGCATGTAAGCAAACAATCGAGCAATAACTGAAGCAGTGTCACAATGGATGAATAAAAGAAACTTTACTGTAATATATCACATAGACCGACACAATTAACAAGAAAAAATGCCTCCTATGGTTTGATGTATAAACATAAGAGGATTCTTTAACCCCGCTTTAGGATGATGCAACAAAAACAGTCCAACTCTAAGAGGAACCATTTTCTCTGTGCTTTTAATGGATTCGCTTGAAGTTTAGACAGCAACAACAACAACATTTCAGGAAGTTGCATCACTTAAAGAAACAACATAAAGTTCAAAGTCTCATGCTAAAACTAAACAAGTTGGCTCAAATGTCACTTTAGAGGGGGAAATGTGAAACCTTGTGTGTCGGGAAAAAAATATAAAGGACAGAAATCGATGTATTGTTGCAAGAAAATACCCGAAAAGTCAATAACTGAAAATGTCACCTACTTAGAATTAGAAAGACATGACTATAAAGAAAGTGAATTTACGGTTTGGTTATTTGACAGTACATGATAAGGTTATTATCGACTTTTAGATGCTCATGCATTAATCCTCTCCAATATGTCCCTTTCAGTATGTTTTTAGAGAAAAAGACACTTATAATCTTCTGCATTTTTTGGTTTGTTCATACATTATTCATCAGTTCAGAAGGTAGACAAATGAAAAAGACAGAGAAGTAGAGAAAGTCAGGGACATAAAACAAGACCAGATAGAGTCCTAATAAAGAATCCAACTCTTTCTTTTTACACCTTTTTTAGGATCCCATTTCTTAATTCCGTAGATGCTTTTATCTTAAGTGACTTGCAAGGAATTACAATCAAGCCTCAGTGCATCTAGTGCCTCTGGCATACACTTTAGGTGCTATTTAAGAGACGGTACACGTGGAACAGGTACAGAAGTGCAAATTAAGTAAATGTTAGGTGGGTTTGAGTGCTAAAAGTGCAGGTACAGTAAAGGTTGGGTTTTCCATAGCAGACAGGGTTTGTCGGAGCAATGTAGTGTTCAGGAAGATGAGATTGTATGAACTGGCCTTCTGTTATTCCATAGACATGCATTATTTACTGAAGTATGAGTCCACCAGTGATGCACAGATGAGTGAGCTGTGTCCCTTAATTGGTGGATCTAACATCAGACATGTAGGCATATTGTGAATCATTTGAAGTGGTTATACAGTGAATACTAAGAGAGGCTCTGGAAGAGGATGTCAACAGTCGAGACAGCCCTGAAGCAGACACTAGTGCTTTTAAATGCACAGAAAATTAATTTACCCTGCAAGCTCTTGGCTAGTTTTTGAGAGTGACAGCAAAGTTCTGACATTCCCTGCGGACGTAGCACCAAACAGCATCAAAAATTCTTCATTTTAAAAGGTCGAGACTATTTGGATGTAAACCAGGCAGTTTGTGTTTTTCACAGTACCTGTCACGACATCTGTGTGCTCTTGAGACATATGCTGGCTCTGGTGGACCCATTCACCGTTGCACTTGAAGAAGATTTGGAGTGCTGGTCGTGCCTGACACCTGAGCTTGATAGGGTTACTTTTGATAATGTAGGCATCGACAGGCTCCTCCAAGAATCGGGGCAGGGTCCCAGACTGGCCATGCTGCAGGGCTTCACCTCTAAGACCTGAAATAGACAAAGGAGAAAAATATTGGAGTGAAGCAAAACTTTAAAGCAAATTATGAAGCAGAAGTTTTACTTTTTGGCAGCTGAGTAACAATCAACAGTTAGTAGTTCTTCTCCTTCTCACGCTTGTAATGGTTTCCTATTTTCTCACTAAAACCTCTAATTTTAGATGTGCATTAATATTTATAGAATTGGCTCTTTTCAGGTCTTTAGTAGATGAGAATCTACTGAAATGTGCGCTTGTAGGAATATAGATAACTTGTTTTGTTAAAGACATCTGACTTATGATTTCATTTTTTGAACATTTACCTCAATTAATGTTATGGTTTTTTATTAGTTTTATACAAAAAAATTTAAATCAAATCTGCTTTTATAAAAAAAAAAAATGTGGTCTTGCTTTCTTTTTTTTTGTGTAACAGTGTCCTGTCCGCCAATGTGGCAATAAGAATAGTTGTCTTGATGCCAAAAAGAGCCCAACAGATTTTACTTTCACAAGTGGAGCAGTACGGCTATTGCCATAGTGTTCTGCTTGTTTTATGCATATAAATAGCTTTATTAGAATTATGCAGGGAGTTTTACAGATTATATAGACACTACAATGTAAATACAATAGAAGAGGAAAAAACAGAAAAAAAAGGAGATCTTGCTTTCTAAGAGATAATCACTAGTTGATAAGTTAAACTTGAAGCAGTCTTTTTAAAGGTGTTTTTATACGTTTTTTTTGGAAAATATTAACAGGTGGGAAAATTCTGAAAAAGCAAACTATTCTTCCCTGCCTTTTACCAGGACAAATAAAATTAATCCTTTGTTTCCTCTAGTGAATCAAAATCTAAAACTCTTAATTACATAAAGAGCTGAAAAGTCAGGCTTGCTATTATCTTATGCTCAACTTAGTAAAAAACAAACACTAGGTGCGGTATTCCATTGTATTAGCAACACAGTATTGGAGATTTGCACTTCTAGGGAACCTTTATAACCGTGTTTTGAAGCAACAGTCATTTTCCTAAACACATTTAACAAGTATGTCTGAAAATATTTTTTTTTAGTCTCTCTCCTGTGAAATATCTAAAGCAGGCCTTGAAGTATTGAGCATCTGAAATTCCGGTTTAAATGTGAGTGACCAAAAAGAAAGCCTCAAGGATTTCCATGTGTCCTTGATGGCATTTAATCCTAACTCATGTGTTGCTTTTTCATATATAGCATATTTTATGTACAGAGAAAACTATTTATTACTTTATTTTGACCTTGACTGCAGGAAAACATGCCATATTCATGAGTAGTATGATGGCCATGTCAGTCAATTTCCCTTACTCCTGTACTTACCAACCAGCCTTTATACACTTAAGAATCTGTGTTTCCTTATGCATAAACTAACCAGCCAATTTAAAAGGTACACTGGTTTAAAGGCTTGTTAACAGGAACAGTGACTCAGCCAACCGCATGGCAGCAAATCAATGCATTTAGACACCTAGACATTATGAGCACGATTTGCTGAGGATCATCAGAATCAGGGAAAAGAGATTGAATAACTAGATGCTGGATACATTTTGGCTTCAGATGGATGGTGTTTTTCAGAATCTGCTGATGCACGGGGAATTTCACACACAGTAACTCTGTGGTTTAGACAAAATTCATAGTAAAAATAAAAAAAAAACAATAAAAAGCCCTGTAGGCAACAAACAATATAAGTTTCAAACTCAAGAAGTCTGATGAAAATGGATTAAAAGCATAGAAAGGTAATAGTAGCTCAAATAGACAATGTCATTTAACCAATGTATGATGCTATCTATGACTGCACAACAGTAAACCAAAAAGCAGCACACCACCACAAAGCAGGTATTAAACAAACTTTTCATTAAGTCCACATTTTTGTAAATCCAATAGTTTTTATTGGTCTAATATAACATATTTTAATCTCAACTGTCAGGGTTTCTTGAACTGCAAGCAGAAAATTAGCATAGTAAACAAATAGAAAGGCTTTAAAAATATGCCTCCTTGTGTTTAATCATCTCTCTAATATGTTTTATATAGTGAACATAGTAACTGAAGTTAAATTATATTTTAATAGTATTATTCTGATTTATTGAATATATCTCTATGTGAAAAGCGAGAACTTGCACTTAATTATAGCAACTTGCTTGTTAAAAAGATGCCTTAGAATAATCTATATTATATGTAATTAAAGTTTCTAAGCGTATATTGTCATTTGGTGAATGCTTTGAGGCCACTGATTGAATAGAATCCCTAAAACTGAACAATTGGATACATGATGCCTCGTCTAGTGGGGCTTGACATTTAGATGGTGCCTCCTGGCACAAACCACAGCAGATCATCAGATAATGAATCCATTCTGCCTAATAGTTTTTATTTTAATCACGGACTACCCACCAATACAAGACAACAAGTTTACCCACTGAGCCACAGTCACTCCTAACAAGAAGGATGAGATTGCTTGGTTCCGGTTCATCATAAGGGTGCTCTGTCGGGTTAAAGTCAGAGCCTGCTGGATGACTGTCAACTTTTTTCCATACAAAACGTGCACATCTTTGTCTGTAAACCAAGCATACAAAGACATTTCGGGGCATTTCTTCTGAGGACCTTGGCTTTTTTGCTGCTGCAAAGAGATGCCATCATTGATAAGGGGGAATTTTCCAAATTGTCATAATCCTCCACATCCTGCAGCATTTTCCCCCCCTTTCACTAGAACTACAGGAGTCCAAGCCTAACCCCTCATAAACAGCTGCACACCAAAATCTCCTTTCCACCAAAAGTCCTATCCAGCCTAATGTAATCAGACAACCATTGTTCTATTGGCAGAGGCCAAACCCAAGCTTGTATATCAGATTGCCAGACAGAGAGGCATGATTGATAGAATCCAGTTGTGGCACGCTCCATATGATTGCATCTTAGCTTTGTTATAGCACTTGGTGATGTGAGGTTTGATTCAGTTGCTTGGCCATAAAAACCCATTTCATCAAACTCTTTACCTACTCTTCTTGCTGTAATCTAAAGGATACAAAAGTTAAGAGGTCTGAAGAGATCGACTTTGCACACAGATGGTGTTTTTTTCCTGCATTGTGTGCCTCCGGCATTTACAGTCCTTGTTTGTAAAGTTACCACACACAAATGTCAGTGGAATGTGTCTCTACCAGAAAATTTTACAAAAGACTTTGTCCTGCAGGTGAAATATATCCCACTGCATGCCTAAATTCACTGAGCTCCTCAGAGTGACCCTTTCATTCATAGTTGATTGTAGCGTTCTACTGTACATGACATGGTGCCTGTAGCCATAACAGTGATACAAATAACTGAATTCAAAGGTTTAGGAAGGTGTCTCAATATTTTTGCTAAAAGGCCAATTACTACCATACATATGATGAACTGTAATCATATCTCTTTAAATAATATATCCTCTTCATTACTGAATCAAAGTAGCATTTTTGCTATTGCGGTAGTGCATATAATGATAAATTATATGCACTACCGCACTTAACGATCGAGGTTAAATTTGCTGAAATAAATCAAATTAAGGTTGTTCTCCACCTATAAGTGATATTTTAATCTCTGAAATCCGTGCACCTTAAAACCAGTTACTAGTCGAAGACAAGGTGCTTGCAGCACATAAACAATCATTACTCCCATCTTCCTCTGCCTGTTTGAGGGCTGTTTCAGTCAGCACACGTTCTGCTGCTTCTGAGTCCCACAACTGTAATTATACTCTGACTAATCCGCCAGTTTGGTGGAACATCTTTCATGCAAGTGTGAAGAGTTTATTGAGGCAAACCATCCCATACGCTCTCACCTCCCCACTGCACACTCCATGTTTCCCCACAGTGATGGCTGTACCTCTGAAAAGCCCATCAGGATTAAGGAACCCGCGCTCTCGTTTTCTCTCCTCCTCTCCAGCTAATCCCGTCCTCCTACCTTTCCTTGCTGGATGTCTCCTGATGGAGGGAAATAGATAAAAGACTCTCTGTGATTCCCTGGCTGTGAAAATCACAGATCTTGTTCAGTGTTCCTGTACCCCTCTGTGGGACACGTTCACATTCTCCGCCACGTTCGTGGAACAGGAGCTGAACAAAGAGACATGCTTTTAATTTCAAAATGTCTCGCCCCAGGCAGGCTTTTCTTGTTCGGAGCGCTCCTCTTTGTTTTGCACGGGCAGAATTGACATTGTGTGTTTGTGTTTTAGATGGATGCAAAACACAGACTAACAGTGCGTCAAGGCAATGATAGATGAGGGAGGAACACCCAAATGCAAACCTGTCAAACCCAGTCAAAGTCTTTGACATCTTATAAATGGATCAGGTTTCATATAAATGAATTCCTAACAACAGGGTGGTCTGACACCACCAACTATCCCTCCTAATACTAACATCAACATTAGATATTATTTCAGATTTTATTGCTGTTAGTAGTCTGTTCACTGCTCCGGTTTTCCTCTTCCATTTAGCCGCTGGGACGTTTCACAGCAGACAGATTAAGAGAGACACATGAAAGGAAACTGGTGCCATTTAACCCCAGGCTGGTGTCGACATGTGAGGCTTTACAAGCACTTAGCAGTCCCTGGAAACTGCATAACATTGTCTCTGGTCACGAAATTGATGAATATAAATCACAAACAGCAGCGCAGAGCTGCAGAAGCAATATTTCTATTACAGTGTACTATTTTAAAACCATACTGTGATAAGGCTCTGCGGTGCAGTTTAGTGATGAAGTGCGATACCGCTTGACATTCCCCACAACATTCCCTCATTTACATCCTGAGGTTGGTGCGGTGCGGTTATTGGTTCATCTCGCCTCAATGTGCTTCACAGCCTCCATTGAGGAGGCCGCTGAGGCTCGGGCTTCACAATTTCAGAATGATCTACAACCAATGCTTCCACCTGGCAATACCACATAAGGGGCACAGATACATTTAGCCAACTCACAGAGAAAATAACATATCACTGCCAAAGGGCTGAGTGATGGCTCTATTTTCTTTCTCTTTCTCTGTGTCT